AGTCAACTTTTTGGAAGCAGATAAAACTTAAAATTAAAATAATTGTAAAAAAATATTTGAAAAAATAACTTTAAACTGTTAAATAAAACCCCAATGACCAGAAATCAATATCTCTTCTCCTTAAACCATTTAATACCTTTCGAATTAAATTATTTTCTTGTATAGAAATTAATATCATTTTGAAACAGTTGAAAACCAAAAAGTTGACACCTTTTAAATAATTACTTAGTTTTTGTTCTGATAATAATCACAATATAATAATTATAAACAAATTAAACAATTCAGAAATGGGGGGTTTTCGCTTGATAAAATTATAAATTTAAAAAATATATAAAAAGAGTATATAAGTGTAGGAGAATAGTAGAGTACAAGTTAAATGTGTTCTTTGTTTGTTTCTTTGTAGAAGGAAGGAGTGAATGTATGAATGTTTTTTCTTTAATTTATATGAATAATTATGTTATTAATATATATTTTGTTTTCTTGTTTTGCATCAAAAGTTTCTTCACCTGCCAGTGGTGTTATGATGATGTTGCTGATTTTTTTCTTTCTTTTTTTATAAATTTCTTAATTTTTGTGTTTACATTTAGTATGTCTGTTGTATATTGCTTAATGGCCTATTAATTTACCCACTATGAGTGACATTATTAGTACTACCTGATGCTGTGCTTCCATTACCTCCAATATCTCGTCCAGCGGCTGGATTTTGATGGTGCTCTTCACTGGTAGGCGTAGGTGGCTGATCGCGTCTTGGTGGCATACGTTCGTTGACAGCATCGAGACCCTTGGCTTCGGCAAACGAGGTGATTTTATGATTGGGTGAAAAACCTTGCATGGCATTTTTCAATGACTGTTTGCCACCCGATAGAGCACCCAAGGGCAAGGCCCCAGTGGGAGTAAGACCCTTAAGTTGCAACACGGACTCTGACTCCTCTCGCAAGACAGAGAAGACACGTGCCATTTTGCCAATTGCTCGAATTTTGTTGCGTATAACTTCTTTTCGCAGTGCTGCCTCGTCGTCGGAAAGAGGTTCTTCGCTTTCTTCGGTCATCAGTTCATCGTCGGAGCAGATATTGAGAACATTGACTAGCATTTCGGTAACCTTTTCGCCCACAAAAGGCAAGGACCAGGTGAATACGTCCATGAAATTGGGAAGCCAATAGGGATGGGGCGAACAATTAAACTGGCGAATGTTCATGACATTATTTTCATATTTTAGAACGGCCGCTTTATTGTTATAGACATCCAGGTAATTTGGTGCCGAGAATATGGTTATTAGCGAGGGGAAACCGGTGGTTTGACTTTTACGATACATACGATAGCCAGCATCCTGTGCCTCATGGGCGCGTATTATCGAAAGTAGATTGTTATTTTGCAGGAAGTCACAACAGGCCGCATAGCTGTAGAAATACGAACAACCGCGTACCGAATTGTGCGTATAGAAATCTGAATTCTTTTCATTGCCAAAATCTTCCAACGGATCGGACCATAGCAAATCGCACATGGGTCCAAAAGCTGGGGGTTCTTTAAAACGATCCAGTCGTCTAATATCATCCAATTCGTGTATCTCTGGCGAAAGACCTCCATGAACACACAGGAATTGTTGGTTCATTAGGGCCGCCAATGGCAAACAATCAAAGGCCTCCATACAGGCATCGTACACACGCTCCGAGTACTTAATCTTACACTCCTGCTTAAATGTAAAGTATTCGGTTAAATGACGACACTCGTGATTGCCACGCAATAGAAATAGTGTGTTGGGATAAGTAATCTTTAATGACCACAAATAAAGTACGCACTCGATACTAAAATAGCCTCGATCAACATAGTCACCCAAGAAGAGGTATTTAGTAGTGGCTGGCGAGCCACCGACTTCGAATAGTTTCATCAGATCATAGAACTGGCCATGAATATCGCCACACACTGTAACAGGCGCCTCTATGTCAATCATGGTCTTTTCCTGGCGCAATAAGGCGGCGCCTTCTTGAATAATGCGCAGGGCGGGCGGTTCTTCTATGCGACCTTCAAGAATAAAGTGTTGTTTGAGTAATTCATGATTGGGTTTTCCCGATCGGGGGTCCTGAAATACTTCAGACATAGTGAGCTTATGGCTAGGAGGAAATGGCACACTGTCTACAACACGATCCGTAGTATTTATTGCAGGTCTTAGGCTACTGCGAGTTGGACTGTCCTGATTAGATTGGCTACCAGCCGACGATGGCTGTTGTTCGGCGGATCCAGAGGGTGTACCCGAGGCGGCACCAGAGGCAGCAGTTGATTGTTGATTGCCGGTAGCGGCTGTTGCTTGACTATTCGAAGACATGTTTTAGGATTTTTTGATCCTTTTTCTGTTTAACCCCTTTCACAACAAGCACAAAAATTCAACAACTTTAACTACACCTCCTTATTTTTTCTTTTCGTCGTTAAATTCTCCTATTAACTCCACCTTTCTTTCCTTTTTCAATTTTATGCTTCTTCGCTTTTTTCTATCACTCTCTCTCCTCACTTTTCTTTCTTTTATGCTTTTTTTTAACAATAGCTATGTGTATTCAATGTTTAATAAATATTTATTATTTTCTTATCTCGAACTACACTTTTAAAAGAAATCTTTCCAAATATATTCTTAGTTGAAAATTGTGTTGGGCTTTCGAAATTTACAAACTTAAAGTTTGTTCTGGTCTTAAATTTTTTTTATTAAAATCCAATAAGAAAAATGGTGTTCTCTGCAAATCTTTTTTACTTGTTCTTCTTTTCACTCTCTTTGCAGACTTTTTTTACAAGTTTGCGAAAAAAATTTTCACTTTTTTCTAATCAACGTTTATGTTTATTATAAATTTAGTTCCCTAATCGTGTCGTTATTCACCACATTTCCATTAACAATTCCTTTGTAACACTTTATTTTTAAATTAAATATTTTTATTATAATTTTCAGGAAAAAGTATACAATTTTTTGCAATAAATCGACAAAAATTTTATTTTTCGTGTAATGTTCGTTTCAGTGTTGCATTGTGGTGGAGATAACTGAGCCGAGGAAATTTTATGACCGCCGTCAAATTGTAGTGATGACAGCAACGGTCCGTTTGCCAACACTGTTTTTGACACTAAAAATCGTCAAAATGACGATAAATCATCAAATTTGGCAACAGTGTGTACAAGAACATTTACTCAAGTTTTTCTCTGGTAGCACTTCAAACAAAAAAATTGTTTGCTACGAACACGAGATACGAAATATATGTACATTGTTGTTTGACAAACCAGTGCCCCGTTTCTGTAATTCTCGCATCGAGAAAATCTGTCGAAAAATTCATGATCGTCAGGGTGAATATAAGAAATTTAATAATTTCTTATTAAATTTTAATGAGTACAGTTTAAAAATAATCAGAGTCACACTGTTAAAAACTGGAAGACTATTATATTTTAAGTTTTTTCTCGATTCGAAAAAATTACAGAAACGAGGTACAGAATATGCTAGGTCGTCAAACATATGTATTTTAAATAGTACATCAAACAAAATCAGTTTGAAGGAAAATTTGCGAGAGCTGTATGTTTTCGCGCCATTTTTGTAAATTCTTCTTCATTTGATCCTCTGCCATTTTCATACACTTTGAGTTTGTAACTTTCGTAGAATTTGTTTGATTTTTTTTTAAATTATAAAATATATCTACTTTTGTTATTGGAAATAACATAATTGTTTATTGAAAAAGTATTTAAGTGTAAATACTAAAAATATTGATTGATTTGAACTGTTTGTGAAATCTAGAAGATTTTATATAAAAATAAAACATAGAACAATTAATTTTATTAGAGACGAAGATCTCTTTTTATTTTAACCAAATATTACCTCGTAGACGTATATGGTTTTTTAAATGTAATATGCACGTAGTGCTTGTGTCGTAGACAAACCACAAGTGATTTTTAAGTCAAACGAAACAAGAATAAATTTGGTGGCATTTAAGCACCTTTATAAGATTTTCTAACGTTGTTATAATAAGTATTTCAAAAAGGTAGTTAAATCAATTTTAACTTAAACAACCTTCGTGAGAATTTAAATTTTTTCAGATCGTTCCAGAATTGGCCATAGCTCCCATGTAATGTCATTACGGAAACCATAAATATAAATATTTGACATCTATAAATATTTGACATCTATAAATATTCGACATTTTTATAAAAATCTAGCTTAAAGGTGCAGGGTATTTAAAATTGGACCGAATATAGTAAATTTTCTATATAGATAATAAATTACATGAAAAGAGTCAAACTTTAAATAAAAATCCAACTTAAAAGAATCAAAATTTTTCTAAAAATAAAATTCCTACATTAATTTTGAATTTTACGTTTTTCTGAATATTCAAATGTTAAAAAAAATCAATTTCTCTATCAAAATCTTATTTTTTATACAATTTTTAAAATTATTAAATTTTTAAAATTCAAGATTCCATTATAAATCAAATTTTTTATTAAAAAGTTTGATATAATTTCTACATAAAAAAATTTATTTTTACTAAAAGTTTAATTTTTCATAAAAAATTTAAATTTTCACTAGAAGTTGTATTTTTACACAAAAACGTATTTTCAACAACTTTGTGTAAATTCTATAATTTATGTAAATATATATATATTTGTAATAAATACATACATGTAAATGAAACGTACAATTTTAGTAAATTACTTCTTTACAAACTATTTACATGTTAATGTAAATAATTTAAATGTAAGATTTCCAATAAAAAATAATTTTTTAAATTATTCAAAGACTTATTTATTATATGAATTCTATAATAATACCAACAAAAAATGTATAATATTTGTTGTAAATTTAATGGTTTTCCTTAAAATGGATGTAAATGTTTACATCTTTTGCATGTAAATGTAAACAATCCAAATGCAACACTAATATTATTAACAGCTCTGTCTTATTTATAAAAAACCAAGCGGCTATGAATGACAACTCTGCACAAAAAATCGCAAAATACGAAAAGAAAAATCTCTAAACTAACAACACTGACTGTCACCCGCAAAGATTTGACAATATTCGTCATCCAGCAGTGGAGAAAAAATTAAAAAAATATAGTTTTTATTATTGTGCAAAAAATTCGTTAAATATTCCACTGTTTTCTATAATAAAATAACAAAACTAAAATTAAACTAGATAAATTAATAGTAAAAGGAGTAAAAAATAACTAAATATAACAATAAAACGTGCAAAAGAACACACCTTAAAAATTGTTTGCAAAAGTACAAGCACCTTACAACAGCCGCAGCAGCAGAATAAAAAGAAAAAACAAAGTAAAATAAGTAGAAGAACACCATGGATAGCAAAGGACGCAATGTTATCGTTTGCGATAATGGTACCGGTGTAAGTAGCTGGGTGTCAGTTTACCTTGAAGCTTAAAACATTTGCTGTTCTAATGCTGATGTGGTCTGTAGGCACAAAAGAAAATAAATAGAGATTACAAAAGGCAGCAAAAACTAATACCAGTGACATACATTTTTGAATTGTGGGTCGGTCGTTTCTCTTTTGACTACTAAGTTCATTGTACTGGTCATTTAAAGTAGCCTTTTAAACTTCTAAAGGGAATTACTTACAAAAATTTAAATGTTTTTAAAATAAAGACCCTCCCATTCAAAAAGTTCAAACAATTGCTAAGACCAGTGCTTTGATTACTCATACATATAGTATACCTTGTAGAAGCGCATTGTATTGTGTATTTGTTGTTTTGTTATCTGCACTGTTTAATATTTGGAATATTATATTAATACATATTTATAACAAAAACTAAAACTTTATCGGTGACAAATACCATTGATAATAACAATACCGAAGTAAATCGTTTATCTAATGTGGAACCGTTATTAGAGCATAAAAAACAAGCAAAAGAATAAAAAAATAATACCTATCATTTGTAATTTTAATAGATTTGGTATCCCTCAAATTAATGTCTTTAAATATAAGAGACCAAAGAATAAATAAGAAATGAAACTGTTGTCAAAAGTACCTAAGTCTACTGTCATCCGGTACCTAACTCTAAGAATGTATTAGTAGAATTCTCAAGTCAACATAGTTGCAAAAAATAGTATTGAAAAATATTGAAAAAAAATTATTACATTTCAATTTATACTTTGAAAGGTTTCTTAAGATATTTTTCACATATTTTATCTATAAACATTTTATAAACACATCTATTTGTTTTTTAATCTATAATATTGAAAAAATAAATTATTTATTTGAAATATCTTTTTCGTTTACCATACGAAAATTTACAATATTGTTTTTTTTAGTTTTAATTTCAAACAACAAAAATTCAATGTCAAAAAACAAAAAATATTTTTTTTTTCGTTTGTAAAAAATATATTATTTTCGGGCTATTAAATGTGTTTAAATTGTGCAAAAAAATTATAAAATATAATGTTAAGTGATAAAAAATATTTCCAAGTGCTATTATCCTCAAATTTTCGCGAAAAAGTTTTGAAGTTTGGAGAGAGAATACAATTTTTACATATGTGTTGGATTTACACAGCACTCGTCTGTGAGAAGAGCGTAATGTTATTGTTGTAAAAAAATGACAGCGTTTCACTTCTTGTTTATTCTTTGTAAGAGACTTTATACCCTACACTACTCCATGTATGTATCGGTGTGTTGGAGCTGATATTTAACAAATATTGAGCTTACATTAACTTTAAAGTATCGATAGATCGACCGCCCAGTCATGTAAACCCTTAAATATTACTGATTAAAACTGGTCCTTTATATGATCTAGGCCTCATACAAATAGCAAATTGTACAGAAATAGGTTTTTACTTTAAACTTTATAGTTGATTAGAACTAATTAAAATTCATACAATTCGGTTCAGATTTTTATATTAAAATCTACTTTCCTTGAAACTACTCTTATATGTATGTATCTAAATCTTATCTGTTTTCTCTTCTAGTTCGTTAAATGTGGCTATGCCGGTAGCAATTTCCCCGCCCACATATTTCCCTCCATGGTTGGCAGGCCAATCATAAGGGCTGTTAATAAAATTGGCGATATTGAAGTCAAGGTAAGTTGCTCTTATCCATATCAAACTATCCTATACCAAACAATTAAAATTAGTTTAGTTAATTTTGAATTATTATAAATTTATATATATAAAAAATATATCTCTTTTTTGTTCTTCTTTATTTATATGTAAATGAAATAAAAAAAATATTTATTTTGGAAAAAATATCTTTTTTGAATATTTTTACAGGATTTACACGTTGATGTAAGTCTATAGTTTCCTAATTTATTTTCATTAATTACGAAATTGTTACGTTTCTTTTTTTCGTTCGTTTAAACCAAAAACTAGTTGTCCGTTTTACTACATTCCAATATATTTTTTGTTAGCTAAATAAACTTAGACGTTGTTTAAAGTTAATTTGTTATCCCTGTTTTTTTGTTGTTGCTGCTGAAGCAAGTATTATTTTAACAAAACCTTTTTTAGAATGCCTTTAACAAAAAAGCGTTGCGTTTATGTTAATTATTGTTTAAATTTCAGAATTAAAACATTTTGGAATGAATGTTTGTTGTTTTTTATTATAATTTTACTAACAAATTTTTATTTTTTTAAAGCATGCTTTAAATTTTTTCTTTAATTAAGAAATAATTTTGTTACTATACTTGAGACTTTTTCTTTTAGTCATGATTTCAGTTTTCTTTAAACTCACATTGAATGTATCTTTAGACAGCAATTTATATTTGTTTAAAGTTTTATTTATTACAGTCGTTTTCAACTTTTCTAATTCTTCTTTACTTGAAAAAAGTAATATTTCAACCTTTTAAAATCAATATTTGGATCAGATGAAATAAACAATTCCTGAGACACTTGTAGCAAAATGATTTTCCCTAAATATATTTATCTGAACTAGAACGGATCTAGAACTGAACTAGAACTGAACTAGAACTGAACGAGTCAACTGAACTAGAACTGAACTAGAACTTGAACTAGAACTGAACTAGAACTGAACTAGAACTGAACTAGAACTGGAACTAGAACTGAACTAGAACTGAACTAGAACTGAAACTAGAACTGAACTAGAACTGAAACGAGAACTGGATACTAGAACTGAACTAAGAAAACTGAACTAGAACTGAACTAGAACTGAACTAGAACTGAACTAGAACTGAACTAGGGGACTAGAACTGAACTAGAACTGAACTAAGAACTGAACTAGAACTGAACTAACGAACTGAACTAGAACTGAACTAGAACTGAACTAGAACTGAACTAGAACTGAACTAGAACTGAACTAGAACTGAACTAGAACTGAACTAGAACTGAACTAGAACTGAACTAGAACTGAACTAGAACTGAACTAGAACTGAACTAGAACTGAACTAGAACTGAACTAGAACTGAACTAGAACTGAACTAGAACTGAACTAGAACTGAACTAGAACTGAACTAGAACTGAACTAGAACTGAACTAGAACTGAACTAGAACTGAACTAGAACTGAACTAGAACTGAACTAGAACTGAACTAGAACTGAACTAGAACTGAACTAGAACTGAACTAGAACTGAACTAGAACTGAACTAGAACTGAACTAGAACTGAACTAGAACTGAACTAGAACTGAACTAGAACTGAACTAGAACTGAACTAGAACTGAACTAGAACTGAACTAGAACTGAACTAGAACTGAACTAGAACTGAACTAGAACTGAACTAGAACTGAACTAGAACTGAACTAAACTGAACTAGAACTGAACTGAACTGACTAGAACTGAACTAGAACTGAACTAGAACTGAACTAGAACTGAACTAGAACTGAACTAGAACTGAACTAGAACTGAACTAGAACTGAACTAGAACTGAACTAGAACTGAACTAGAACTGAACTAGAACTGAACTAGAACTGAACTAGAACTGAACTAGAACTGAACTAGAACTGAACTAGAACTGAACTAGAACTGAACTAGAACTGAACTAGAACTGAACTAGAACTGAACTAGAACTGAACTAGAACTGAACTAGAACTGTAACTGAACTAGAACTGAACTACTAGAACTGAACTAGAACTGAACTAGAACTGAACTAGAACTGAACTAGAACTGAACTAGAACTGAACTAGAACTGAACTAGAACTGAACTAGAACTGAACTAGAACTGAAACTGAACTAGAACTGAACTAGAACTGAACTAGAACTGAACTAGAACTGAACTAGAACTGAACTAGAACTGAACTAGAACTGAACTAGAACTGAACTAGAACTGAACTAGAACTGAATAGAACTGAACTCGAAACTGAACTAGAACTGAACTAGAACTGAACTAGAATGAACTAGAACTGAACTAGAACTGAACTAGAACTGAACTAGAACTGAACTAGAACTGAACTAGAACTGAACTAGAACTGAACTAGAACTGAACTAGAAATGAACTAGAACTGAACTAGAACTGAACTAGCACTGAACTAGAAACTGAACTAGAACTGAACTAGAACTGAACTAGAACTGAACTAGAACTGAACTAGAACTGAACTAGAACTGAACTAGAACTGAATCTAGAACTGAACTAGAACTGAACTAGAACTGAACAGAACTGAACTAGAACTGAACTAGAACTGAACTAGAACTGAACCTAGAACTGAACTAGAACTGAACTAGAACTGAACTAGAACTGAACTAGAACTGAACTAGAACTGAACTAGAACTGAACTAGAACTGAACTAGAACTGAACTAGAACTGAACTAGAACTGAACTAGAACTGAACTAGAACTGAACTAGAACTAACTAGAACTGAACTAGAACTGAACTAGAACTGAACTAGAACTGAACTAGAACTGAACTAGAACTGAACTAGAACTGAACTAGAACTGAACTAGAACTGAACTAGAACTGAACTAGAACTGAACTAGAACTGAACTAGAACTGAACTAGAACTGAACTAGAACTGAACTAGAACTGAACTAGAACTGAACTAGAACTGAACTAGAACTGAACTAGAACTGAACTAGAACTGAACTAGAACTGAACTAGAACTGAACTAGAACTGAACTAGAACTGAACTAGAACTGAACTAGAACTGAACTAGAACTGAAATAGAACTGAACTAGAACTGAACTAGAACTGAACTAGAACTGAACTAGAACTGAACTAGAACTGAACTAGAACTGAACTAGAACTGAACTAGAACTGAACTAGAACTGAACTAGAACTGAAGTAGAACTGAACTAGAACTGAACTAGAACTGAACTAGAACTGAAATAGAACTGAACTAGAACTGAACTAGAACTGTACTAGAACTGAACTAGAAACTGATTGCATTTGTTTATTCTAAGTTGATTTCGTGATTGTCAGTAATAAATTCCGTGAAAAAAAGGAAAAGGTACATATCTCAAATTATTACAGAAGTTTTTCATTAAAACTAAATCACTTTTACAGGGAGAAATTAAATAAACATTTCTATTCATTTAGGTTAAAGTAATTATTTGATCAGGCCTTTTGTAGTGATTCCTGTTTTTTTTTCGCTGCAATTTATAGACTTTTTCTGCTGCTGCTAATTACCATTAGCTCCTTTAAGACATATTATTACTTTCTAGTGTTTGCTTTATTTAGTAACTTTACAAAAATGTTAATTTTAATCATAAAAAACGTCTACCATAACTCTAACTCTCTCTTGCTCTAGCCGCAAATATTTTTTTATTTAACACATTTAACTAACACTATATTTTAGGATTTAATGGTTGGCGATGAAGCATCACAATTACGTTCACTACTCGAAGTATCCTATCCCATGGAAAATGGTGTTGTACGAAATTGGGAAGATATGTGTCATGTATGGGATTATACGTTTGGCCCCAAGAAAATGAATATTGATCCAACAAATACTAAAATATTGCTCACAGAACCACCAATGAATCCTTTGAAAAATCGTGAGAAAATGATAGAGGTATAGATAAAGTTTTGATATTTTAAAAGGTATATTTTAAAATTTATTGTTTCTTTTTTATTTTAGGTTATGTTTGAGAAATACGGATTTGATTCAACCTACATTGCTATACAAGCGGTTTTAACTTTATATGCTCAAGGTCTAATATCGGGTGTTGTTATCGATTCGGGTGATGGTGTTACACACATATGTCCGGTCTATGAAGAATTTGCACTGCCACATTTAACAAGACGTTTAGATATTGCTGGTCGTGATATAACACGTTATTTAATTAAGGTAAGGAATTATTTTGCGTTTAAACAAATTTTTAAGAATCTAATTTTAACAGAATTAAAAATTTTTCGAATATAATTTCGAATTTAAAGAAAATAAATTAAAAATTGTTATTTGGTGATTTTTTTGTATAGAATTTTCAATTTCACCAAACTTTTAACAAAAACTATATTATATCTTTATGTTTTCATCTCCCCCTTTCTAGTTACTTTTACTACGTGGTTACGCTTTTAATCATTCCGCTGATTTTGAAACAGTACGTATGATGAAGGAAAAACTCTGCTACATTGGCTATAACATTGAAATGGAACAGAGATTAGCACTGGAGACTACGGTACTCGTAGAATCGTATACCTTACCCGATGGACGTGTGATAAAGGTGGGCGGTGAACGTTTCGAAGCACCCGAAGCACTCTTCCAACCGCATTTGATAAATGTAGAAGGTCAAGGTATTGCTGAATTAGTATTTAATACTATACAAGCGGCAGATATTGATATGAGACCAGAACTATATAAACATATTGTACTGTCTGGTGGTTCAACTATGTATCCCGGTCTACCATCACGTTTAGAACGTGAAATTAAACAATTATATTTGGAAAGAGTATTGAAAAATGACATAGATAAATTGGCGGTAAGTTGGTGAAATAACGAATCTCTTTAAATAGTTTTTTAAACAAATTTCATTTTATTTCTAGAAATTCAAAATTCGCATTGAAGATCCACCCAGAAGAAAGGATATGGTTTTCATTGGTGGCGCTGTTTTAGCAGAAGTTACTAAAGATCGTGACGCATTTTGGATGTCCAAGCAGGAGTATCAAGAACAGGGTCTTAAAGTATTACAAAAACTACAAAAAGTTACTGCTTGAAAAAGAATTTAATTCTTTTGTAACAGCTTTAAAAAAACTGACAAGTCTAAACGGGCATTCAGATATAATTATATGTTTTAATGCCAGTTCTTTTTTACATATATAAAACCATACCAACAACAAACATCGTCATTAAAGTAAATGTAAAGCTAAATGCTAAAGAAAAAAACTTTCCAAATCTTCCAATGAAAAGATAATTAGACTACTTTACTCTATTCTTATTCCCCCCTAAGTCGTTGTTATACTTTTCTATTAAACAATCATGTTTTTTCTTTCTTTTACCCTCCTCTCCTCTCTGTATATCCTTCAATATATAATTGTTTTTTAATTCCTTAACAATTTGCATTTATGTAAGTTTTTTATCTTCTTTATTTTCCGTAACCAAATAATTTCTGCCTTCTATTGTTTGTGTTAATATATAAATATTTTTTTAAACTAATTTTTTTTATTTAATTTTTATTTTCCAAGTATTTTCTAGTATTTTATATTAATTTTTTTTAAGTAAAAGATTAATTTTCAATAAAAAAGAAAACAAAATTATTACAATATATCTTATTTTCTATAGAAAACAAGATCAAATTTTGAGTTTTATATTTATTTAAACAAATTTTTTGGTTGTAGATTTTGTAAAGATTTAAAATTCTATAAAATAAAACAATTCGAAAAATTTATTCATACGTTCATTGCGTGTTTAAAATCTAGACTATAGACTATTGAGTATAGTATATAAAATAGACTAGGTTATAGACTAGACTAAAGACTAGACTATAGAATAGATTATAGACTATACTATAGACTAGGCTATATACTAGACAATAGACTAGACTATAGACTCGACTATAAACTAGACTATGGACTAGACGATAGACTAGACTAAAGACTAGATTATAGACTAGACTATAGACTAGACTATAGAATAGACTTTATACTACACAGACTTGACTAGACTATTATAGACTGTAATAGGCTACAGACTTGACTATTGACTGGACTATAGACTAGACTAGAGATTATACGATAGACTAGACTATAAACTAGACTATCGACAAGATTATAAACTAGGTCATAGACTAGACTATAAACTATCCTCGCGATTTAGAGATTGTTTTTAAGATTTTTTAAAACCTTTTTCGAATTCCTTTATTGCAATATTTTAAAAATTCTTAATTAATATCTTCAAATAAAAACACTTGTTAGTTAGCATTTGTGTGCACAGATTTTCGTTTCTTTATTAATTTATTATATCAATATCATTCCATAACCTTAAATAGTATAGTTAGAAAAACCATATAATATCAATACAAATATTATGATTAATATTTAATAAAAAAAAATATTTTAAATATAAAGACAATTAAAAAAAATGCATTGTATTTTCCTCTTTATAAAAGCTTAAAAAACTCAATTCTTTTTAACAAATGTCTTAATAGGATCTTCATCTGTCTCCGAAACCAAAATCTCACAACCACCATTTAGCATATCTTCTAATTTGGGTTGGAAGGTCTTGAGGAAACCTCTTTCCGAATTACTATGATTACATAGTATCACCGATACATTATTGTGATTGGCATCCAAAACTTCATGGTGTGACATTTCTCCGGTTATATATAGATCTGCCTTAACACCACGCAATAATGAGCCACCCGACCCGGCACATAAAGCGACATTTTTGATTTTAGTCTCTAGGGTATGATCGACAGCCATGGCTACGTGAACATCTAGACCAATGTGTTTTTGTACGGCAGTTATAGCATTTTTCAGCGAAATGTTGGTGGTGAAGGTACGGCCAGAGCCAACATTTTCATCACCACAATCGGCCAGTGGCTAAATAAATAGAAATATTCAGATATTATTCCATCACTGGAATGTTGGGGATGTGATTGATGTATGGATGAGATGTAAGCATGAATTATGATTTTTTATTAGGGCTTTGACAGTTTTCACTTTGAATTCAAATTAAAAAACTACTTTTCACCAGAAGTTTGCTTTATTCACCAGAAATTCAATATTTCATTAAAAATTAGGGATCGAATTATCGCGTACGCAATGAAGTAGAATTAATCCGTAATTCAACCCCTTTACGACTTTTGCATCGAATTTCGATATCGAATCTATCTATCTATTTATCTATCTATCTATCTATCTATCTATCTATCTATCTATCTATCTATCTATCTATCTATCTATCTATCTATCTATCTATCTATCTATCTATCTATCTATCTATCTATCTATCTATCTATCTATCTATCTATCTATATATCTATATCTATATATCTATCTATCTATCTATCTATCTATCTATCTATCTATCTATCTATCTATCTATCTATCTATCTATCTATCTATCTATCTATCTATCTATCTATCTATCTATTATCTATCTATTTATCTATCTATTTATCTATCTATCTATCTATCTATCTATCTATCTATCTATCTATCTATCTATCTATCTATCTATCTATCTATCTATCTATCTATCTATCTATCTATCTATCTATCTATCTATCTATCTATCTATCTATCTATCTATCTATCTATCTATCTATCTATCTATCTATCTATCTATCTATCTATCTATCTATCTATCTATCTATCTATCTATCTATCTATCTATCTATCTATCTATCTATCTATCTATCTATCTATCTATCTATCTATCTATCTATCTATCTATCTATCTATCTATCTATCTATCTATCTATCTATCTATCTATCTATCTATCTATCTATCTATCTATCTATCTATCTATCTATCTATCTATCTATCTATCTATCTATCTATCTATCTATCTATCTATCTATCTATCTATCTATCTATCTATCTATCTATCTATCTATCTATCTATCTATCTATCTATCTATCTATCTATCTATCTATCTATCTATCTATCTATCTATCTATAAACAATGACGTTTATAATATCAACCGACTACTATTTTTATATTCCTTCTTTTGGCCTTAACTTTTGTTTTACAAACAATAAACAAAAATATCGAACAACGTTAATGTTTATAAACAAAAAAACGTTGTGATAAGAAAAACCAAAATAAATGTTCTACTGCTTAATTGTAAATCATTAGAAATCGAGTGAATATGTTTCCCTTGCTCTTGGAACATTTAATTCGAACGATATTGTTTTATGAAGATTCCTTTGTGCGACTTTAATGCCTTCAATATCAGACGGTTTCGAGTGTGTGAGGTTGATATCAGGGTATTTAGTCGTCAATAAGACTTTAGAATACAAACAACGTAAAATTTAAATTAAGAATGATACGATTGAAACTAATTTTTTACTGGTTTTTGGCCTTACAAATTATCTGGATAGTAAGTGGTGAAGAATTTGGAACAATAGCGGGTAAATGGAGAATAAAATATGGCATACAGGATGAGATGCCAGCATTACATGTGGCCACAAATAGTGTGGCAAATTTGCCTTTACAAATTTACGATATTGAACGGAATACCCAACCATCAAACGATATTTATTATGAATTTGTAATTGAAAATACCAAATTAGCAACGGTGGAGGAGAAACGTTTAAATTTGAGTGATATTGTAGGCTCTACCTGGGAAGGCGTGCTGCACGTTAAAGGTCTTTACTTAGGTTACACACATTTATATATAACTTTAAATGATCCTCAGACAGCTAGAATGGAAAAGAGTGAAGAAATGCTAGAGGTAAGAGTACTGCGCAATAAACGTATAGATGACAAAATTTTCACATACACCGCTGCAGCTATAATGCTTTTAATGTTTATAAATCTCGGCACTGTGTTGGATCTAAAACGTGTTGGCTCGATTTTTCTAAGACCTATAGGTCCTTTATTGGGTTTTTGTTCCCGCTATATTGTAATGCCGGGTTTGGCTATTGGTTTGGGTGTTTTAATGTTTAAAACTAATACAAATTTACAATTGGCCTTACTTTTTACGGCCATAGCACCCAGTGGCGGTATCGCTAATATTTGTAATGTTTTTTTGAAGGGAAATATTAATCTTTCCTTGGCTACCACCACTTTAAATAGTGTCTTGGCTTTGGGTATGCTACCTTTGTGGATTTTTCTAATGGGTCCTGTTCTTTATCATGATTCTAAGTTGAATTTACCCTTTGTGAACTTGGCAGTTGGTTGTGTTGGTCTTTTATTGGCCTTATTAGTGGGAGTTATATTACGTACTTTTATACCCAAAACTACACGATTTATATTTCGTTTTTTGAAACCCGTTTCGGTGTTATTGAGTTTGTGTTTGGTCGCCGTAACAGTGGGCATAAATGCCTTTGCCTTTAAGGAAATTACCTTGATGGTTGGTTTTTTCTATTCCTTATTATTTAAAATATATTAAAATTTCTTATTTTCTTCCAGATCTTCTTAGCTGCTTTATTTTTACCCGTTATAGGTTATATAATTTCATTTGTTTTATCAAAAATTCTATGCCGCTCTATAACAGATGCCATGACTATTGCCGTCGAGACTAGTGTTCTAAATATGTCTTTACCTATTGTTTTATTGGAATATACAGTTACCCAACCTATGGCTGATATGTTAATAGTTGTGCCTATTTTATCGGCCTTGTTATCATTATGTTTAATTGTTATTTTCTATATTGTTCGAAGAATATTTGGTTGGAATACAAAACGAGATCTCGATGCTTTCGACGAAGAAACTTTTTTAGTTGAATAGATATAAAATTGATATTACTAGATATAAGTTTATTGTAAATTTAAAGTAATATTGTATTAGTTTTAAGTTTAATTAAAAAAATAATTGTAAAAAACAAGACTACAGATAGAGAAATAATCGAAACTTTGGCAACAAGATCAAGAAGAAGGCCGAAGTTCTGTTTCATTGATGATCGAAAGAAAAACTATTTGAAATTATTATAATTCATATTAACATTCGTTCCACTGTGATTTTTATCAGTATGTAATTAATTATATCTTTTATTGTCGGTATTAAGGAATTAAGATAAAAATTCATAAAAATCAGTTGACAGAAAAACTGAAGAAATGTAAATGGAAAGATTAACTCCATTATTATTTAAACAGTAATGAACAATATGTAATTGCTAAATTGTTTTGTCATCATTAAACCTTAATTTTTTTTTCTAGAGTGGGCTTGAGATTCCAGATTTTCTTATTTTTTTAAATTTACTTCTATATATACATTATTTTTTCAAAAACTTTTTCAATAACCCTTTAAATAATGTCTTAAATTGATTTGTAAAATTTAATTCTTAAATTATTTTCAGTTAATTTTTTGAGGGTTGTAAAACTACAACATATTACTCATATAACATACATGTGTATATGTATGTAATTTAGCACTGTGTATAGCAAATTTGAGAGTGTTTTTACCTGAAATATAAATATATGTATATTTTAATTAATTAATTAAAACTTTGTTGGTGTACAAAGTTTATAAACTCCAAAGTGTGTTGTAGTTAAAATATTTTGTATACTAGTCATCACTTAATTGTTTTAACAAATGTTCTAGCGCTTAGAAATAATTCTTGACTACACATTTGTTTTGTATACAATTCAATATTATACCTACATATGTATAAAAACACTAATTTACAAATTCATATTTAAAAAAAAAGCTTTTAATTGACTAGAAAAAAGTATCAAAAGCAGATACAATTAAGCGTTTACAACTGAAGAGTGCGTATGAAATTAATAGTGCACATTTTTAGATTTACAATTTGTATCTATTATTCAGATAAACATGGATTTGTTAAATGAGGTTTAAGTGTTGGAATTTGAAAAAATCTCTTTTTCAAATTAAAAAATATGAAAAGAAAATGTTAGCATATACTAAATAATAAAATGTTTAATGTCGTCTCACATTCTATAACGTCTTAGTGAGAGATATATGCAAGCAATATTAAGAAAAATGCCTGTCTATATTATAAAATTATTGGGCGTGAGACGCATTAATATGACGAATAAAGTTCTTTGACCCAACTAATTTCAATTATTGTTATTATTTATTCATTCAAATAAAAATAATATAAACGTTAAACAATCTTTTGAAAGACAATATAACCACCTATTACCTCATTTCAAGTAGAGGAATTATCCTTAAAGTTCCCAAAGAATGTCACATAAATCTTTCAAATACATTTTGGTGAGAGGAATTTCGTTAAAATAATGAACTAGGTAGATAGATAGACAGACAGACAGACAGCCATATAGATAGAGATATAGATAGATAGATAGATAGATAGATAGATAGATAGATAGATAGATAGATAGATAGATAGATAGATAGATAGATAGACAGACAGACAGACAGACAGACAGACAGACAGACAGACAGACAGACAGATAGACAGACAGACAGACAGACAGACAGACAGACAGACAGACAGACAGAGAGATATATAGATAGATAGATAGATAGATAGATAGATAGATAGATAGATAGATAGATAGATAGATAGATAGATAGATAGATAGATAGATAGATAGATAGATAGATTGATAGATAGATAGATAGATAGATAGATAGATAGATAGATAGATAGATAGATAGATAGATAGATAGATAGATAGATAGATAGATAGATAGATAGATAGATAGATAGATAGATAGATAGATAGATAGATAGATAGATAGATAGATAGATAGAAATATAGATAGATAGATAGATAGATAGATAGATAGATAGATAGATAGATAGATAGATAGATAGATAGATAGACAGACAGACAGACAGACAGACAGACAGACAGACAGATAGATAGACAGACAGACAGACAGACAGATTGACAGACAGACAGATATATAGATAGATAGATAGATAGATAGATAGATAGATAGATAGATAGATAGATAGATAGATAGATAGATAGATAGATAGATAGATAGATAGATAGATAGATAGATAGATAGATAGATAGATAGATAGATAGATAGATAGATAGATAGATAGATATATAGATAGATAGATAGATAGATAGATAGATAGATAGATAGATAGATAGATAGATAGATAGATAGATAGATAGATAGATAGATAGATAGATATCTTGAAGAGTTTTTCGTTAATTCAATATTTAGGGTAAATTTTATTCACATCGGTATTTAAAGACAAATTTTGTATTAACAGGAATATTTGTTAATTTTTTATATTTATTATTATTACTCTTTTAGATTAAAATTTTTCTACGTAAATGTGTGCACTAAGTATTTCACTCGCTCTCCTTAATACAACTGTAGTTGTAAAACATACGTTTTATTAAACATTTTCAAAACAATTAATTTAGCCAGTCAGTCAGTTGAAACTGATTCTTCAAAGTGTTCAAAGTGATGTAGAATAAACGAAAATTATTTTAAAAAAATAAAACTGGAAAACAACGTTTTTACGAAACATTCTTTTTCATACTGAACGAATTTAATACAAAATTACAACTTTCTGTTTTACAATTGTGCTACTAAAATCCAATTAAAAGGAAATTAACAAATTTAAATAAGTTTAAGTTTCTTAAAGATATAATAAAAGAGCAAATGTATCTAGTTTGACGATATGTAGCCAAATCAAAGTTCCAGAAATCAAGTTCAATTGTGATATTTGTAAAATGTGATATTTAAAAGATCTTATTCTCTCTTTGATGTTGATGCAGAATTTTTTTAATAGGTTAAAGAAAATATTTAGTATTTGATTGCATTTTAGTAGACTATTAATTAAGCCAAATGAAATTTAAAAAGTAATGTTATCAGTAAACTTATTTACTAGAGATTAAATTAATATAAAGACCATTAATAAATATTTCTCACGAACTACCTCAATATTTGATAATATATAAAAGCTTTTATATTAAACAAAAACTATAAATTTTGACAAAATAAAATTCATTTGACGTTGGATACGCGGTCGAGCTACAACCATTCAATACTTAATAAATAGAAAACAACATAAAAGAGTGTTAAAATTACAAAAACAATATAATTAAATTTAAACAAACAACAAAAAATCTCATAAAAGAACTTTTAATATATAATTTCTATATATAAAAAATGATTTTTAAAAAATCTCTTTTAATTGTATATATAATACAAACAACAAGTGTGTTGATGATATACAGTAAAACTGTCGAAAATTTAAGTTATAATCCGGACAATAATGATACCACCTGGGAGGAGTATTATACCTATTCCGAACAACTCAACAATAAGCCCTCATGGTCAGTAGTGTTTGAGGAGTACAACATCAACATGACAATGACACAAAAACGTTCGATGTTAATCAATATAACATTTATAGATCCCACCTGGGGGCAAGAATTTGAATTTCATATTATACCACAAGATAAGGAATTGCTTAGTTTGTCCGATAACATAATAACAGCACACGATATAGAAACCGGCCAGTCATGGTGGAGTGGCAACATTACAATGGAAGCTATATTTCTGGGTCGTTCGGAAATCTATGTTGAATTACGCAGACCTCATAAGCCCACGGAAAGATCAGCAGAAAATACTGAAGTTATTATTATGCGTAATATAGGCAAATGGGATTTGCTGTTCAATATATGCGTGGGCATATTTGTCATGTTGTTGTATATAAATTTTGGTGCAGTTTTGGAATTGGATGCTTTAAAGGCGATACTTATAAAACCTATAGGTCCTGCAATAGGTTTCATAGGACAATTTCTTGTCATGCCTGTTTTGAGTTTTTTAATTGGTTACTTTTTATTCCACGATATGATCGAATTAAGATTGGGCCTATTTTTTACGGGCTCTACTCCCGGCGGCGGTGCTTCTAATATTTTTACGGTTATTTTAAATGGTAATCTTAATTTATCTATTACCATGACGGCTATTAGTAATTTAGCTGCCTTTGGCATGATGCCTATATGGATTTTTACTTTGGGTGCTTTAATATTTCATGATGGTAATCTAGTGGTACCGTATAAGACTATTGCAGCTATGTCGTTTTCTTTGGTGGTTCCTTTGGGTATTGGCATAGCGTTGCAGCATTATGCTCCGTCGGTAGCTAAGAAAATGGCGAAGATTTTAAAACCGTTATCATTGTGTTTTATATTGTTTATAACGGCTTTTGCATTTACGGTTAATTCGTATATGTTTAAATTGTTTTCGTGGAAGGTGAGTGTGAAATATTTTTTTAATTAGAGCTTAACAGCTAATTATCTATCTATCTATCTATCTATCTATCTATCTATCTATCTATCTATCTATCTATCTATCTATCTATCTATCTATCTATCTATCTATCTATCTATCTATCTATCTATCTATCTATCTATCTATCTATATCTATCTATATATCTATATATCTATATCTATCTATCTATCTATCTATCTATCTATCTATCTATCTATCTATCTATCTATCTATCTATCTATCTATCTATCTATCTATCTATCTATCTATTTATCTATCTATCTATCTATCTATCTATCTATCTATCTATCTATCTATTTACTGACTTTCTGACACATTTGTTTAATTCCTTTAACCCTCCTATTCAGATAATTTTCGCCAGCAGCGCCTTACCCTGGATAGGTTATTTAATCGGTTGGACTATGGCTCTAATGTGCCGTCAATCAGCTCGTGATGCCTTAACTATAGCCATTGAAACGGGCATACAAAATACCGGCATAGCGATATTTATGTTAAGTTTTACATTACCTCAACCGCAAGCTGATATGACAAGTGCAGTACCGGTGGCCAATTCAATGATGACACCATTACCTTTACTCTTACTGTACATAATAAAGAAAATCTTTTGTCGCACCAGTATTGAGGACACAGAAGAGCCGGGTATAAAGGCTACAAAGTTTACTGAAACAAAAGCTATAGTAGAAAAGGACCAGCAGTGGGAAGATACGAAAGCAGCTAACAAAACGTGATTTAATGTTAATTTAACAAATAGTATTTTTTGTTGTTAAGTCTATAGTTTAAAACTATTTTATACTTTTTGTAATTTAAGGAAAACATTAGAAAAAATAGTTAATTATTTGAACAAAATATCATTAAGAAATGTTTTATTTCTACATATGTATGTATGTATGTATTACAAACTTACAATGCAGAGCTATAATAAAGTAAAAAAGTTTCTTTATAAAAATAAACAATTTAAATTAAATTATAGCAGACATTTTATTATCTTTAAGGTACTTTTGTTATCGTTAACTTATAACCATTAAAAATCAGTCGTAGTTTTTGAAAAAAAAAAACATTTCTTTTCTTGTTTTGTATTATTATCAGATAATTTAAGTGTTTTACAACCGATTAATTTAGAATGTTTAATAATATTTCCCTAACGTAACTTGTCGCCAATGTTATTAGCATGATATATAATAAAATAATGCAAATCATTTTTATTTTTTTAGATAAAAATAAAATTAGAAATATCGGTTTAAAAACAAAATTACGATATTCTCCAAACTATATTTCTTGAGTTAAGAAATTGTTGAAGTCATAGATGTAGAAAATTAAAAAAATTCTCAAACGATATGTTAATAAATACTGTTCAGAATTCTTTGTAAAGTTCTTATTACAAATAAATTTTCATCATTGAATTATTTCCTATTTCGTGTTTGTTGTTACGTGTTATATGACACTATCATTTGTTTATAAATATTTTATGCAAACTCATTTTGAAAGTCAATAAATAAACAATATGGGATATAAAAAAAATGCATATCAAGCTTATAAGTGGATTCTATAGTATAGTCTGGACTATAGAATCCACTAGTCTAGTATATAGCTATTTATAGTCTAGTCATAGTCTTTACTATAGTTTAGTCGATAGTCCAAACTATAGTCTAGTCTATTGTTTAGACTAAAGTCTAGTCTATAGTCCAGACTATAGACTAGTCTATAGTCAAGACTATAGTTTAGTCTATAGTTGAGTCTATTGTCTAGTCTATAGTCCAGACTATAGTCTAACCTAGTTTATAATACATTCTGTAATCTTGCCTCTACTATAGGCTTGAGATTTTTTAAATCGGCATAGAACTAAAAGTTTTTATATGTAGGTTCTTTTCATTTTTGGGATATTTGTGTAAAAGTTATCCTATGAGTTTAATGAGATGTTGTCCAACATTATTTTATAATTTATCTTAAGAAACTGAAACGAAAACTGTCTTACCTGAATAGGTTTGATATTTTTGACGGGTAATGCATTGGCCAGCCAATCATTAACACCACCCAATGCAGCATCCCATGCGGTATGAGGTGAATATAAAGCAATTGATTTACCCAAGCATATGGAAACAATACGTTCCTTCCATGTTCTACAAAAAAAGTAAAAATTAAAACAGAAACCCATTATTTAATTCATTAATTTAATTAAACTTACCTTTGAGTTATTCTCTTTAAAGCAGAAAATATTGGCGGATGATATGACACAATCATATTGACATTTTTATCCACAGCTTCTTGCATGACACGTTCGGTTAAATCATTAGTTAAAAGTATTTTTTCAATGGGTCTACAAATTGAAATAATTTCATTCATTAAAAATGTCATTTATTCTCTAATAAATTTACCCCTGATTGTATGGTTCCAGCAGCAAACCCACATTGTCCCATTTTTCGGCATAACTTAAGGGAGCAAACACCTCTAAACGTTTAACCACTTCTGGCAAAGCTAAACCGGTTGACATATTGCCGTAAAAACGTAGAAAATTTGAAGCTTGTTTGCTAGTAGTTTTTAACATTAATTTAGTTAATAAAACTAAGAAAATACTAATTTCTTAATTGTTCCGCAGAAAAATAAATGAATTTGTTAAGTTTGACAACAACAACTAAAAAACCGGCAAACAGCTGTTGTGACAGCTGTTAATGTTTACCTGTTTTGCAGAGGTGAATTTGTTGATTTATAGCAAAACAGAGTTGTACATTTTTGTATTTTTGTTTATTGTTTAATGTTTTTATTATAAAATAAAGTATAACGGATGTAAAGAAAACAGGAAATGTAGAAATTATTCTTAATTTTAAATTATTTTTAAGCTAATTTGTTAAGATTTTGTAATTAAAAGTGTTATGTAATATATAATAAAATATAATACAATCTTTTGTTATATAATTTTTGTAAAAAATCTGAAGAATTTGTAAAAACTTTGCTATAAGTTTAGAGAGTGGTGACTTTAGGAAATTACACCACATACGGAAGTTATAAATAAGTATAAACGGATGTGGAAAAGGGAAACAATGATTTATGTATGTATTTTTTTTGCAAAGAAATTTAATATTTTTACTTTTTAATCAATTCACCAATTAAATAATTGTTCTAAAATTAAATCATAAACTTATTATTAATTTATTAATAACTAATGTTAATAATTCGGCTACTTATTACACCACTAATCCACCACAGTTTTACCAATGACAGTTGGTAAATGCTCTCAATTAATATCACACTCTTTTTAATTCACCACATTTTAGTTAATTTCTTTTATTCGTCTCATTTATACGTAAATTTCCGTTGATCTTATTAAATTATTAAAAATTGTTATTAAAAAGTGTTTAAATGTTAATACATTTATGAAAAAAGTAAAATTTAATTAAATGTGAATAAAAAGTGTGTGTTTATTTAGAGGAAAATATGAATTTTCGCAACTTTTCCTGCAATTAAAAAATTTGTGTAAAATTGCAAAGTCATCTGTTGACAGAGGAGCCCTAGCGCTCCACAGAAAATGATTTTTTTTTCGGGTCGGTCGTTTCAATGCATACATGTGTGATTGATTATGTGTGTTTGCATTTCGGGTTTGTCGCGAGAAGTCTTTTTTTAAGAAACAACGAAGAAGAAGGGTATGTTAATAATGTTGTTGTTGCTGTTGTTTGTAATATTCTATTTTGTATTGTATGTTTGATGGATGGATGTTGTTGCTGTTGTTGTTTTTTTATCTGTATAGTGAGGCTAGTGGGAATATGTGTGTTGTTTTTGTTACTTTGCGTTGACTGTTATTATTATTGCATTTAGTGTTGGGCAGTTTGTTTTGTTTGTTGATTTTAATGTTTTCCAAAGGGGGTTTAGGACTTTTTAGTTTTAGTACCATTGCACTTTGTATTGGCAGGTACTTTTTAACACTTGTGTCAGCACTGTTATACATTTTGTATAGCATTTTAACGCTGTTGTTTTTTAATCTGTATACCGAGGCTAGTGAGAAAAATGAGTGTTGTTGTTGTTTCTTAGCTTACTTTTCTTTTAATGATTCTAATAGTTTTAAGAGTGGTTTAGGACCTTTTACATAATACATATAACCATTGCACTTTGTTTTGAATGGCAGGAACTTTTTATATTACTTTTTAACCTGCACCTGCTTATGTTGTACATTGTGTATGTTTTTTTGTAAATAAACTTTTGGTATATAACACTTTTTAAAACAAAATTAATTTATTATGACCCTCACGTTCGCGTGAAGGCTATATAGCAAAATCGGACCATGCATAACGGAGATATGAGCAAAATTCCGAAATAGCCTCTGAAAATATTACGTTTTTTCTCATACTTTTTTCGGCTAGAAATTAACATGGTTGAACATAAGTGGAATCATTTCAAAATTTCATAAAGTTCCCATACAAATTTATATATTCCCGGAAAATGGATTTATTCTAAATAACTCCCTCTAGAATATCGATGAAAACGATGCAATCTACATTAACATTTTATTTTATTATTTCGACATACCCTGGTTATCACATGCTGACATATCGGTTAAACGACAATAGATTTTACTCCTTTTTACACATGCGAAATTTTAAATAACTAAATTCTTACATAACTATGTATTTCCTCTACCTACCACCCCAACATATATGTACATATGTACATATTTTTGTATAACCAATGAATAAATAAATAGTATAAATCTGTTACCTCTTTATAAACCTAAAAAAGCTGCAATAACAAAACAATTCCGTTTCTCTCTAACACATTGTACATACATACATATTCATTACATACATACATAGTACATATTCAACATAATAACTTCTTCGTTTTTATCACTTTTACCCTCTCCCCATTCCACACTAATAAGTACCAAATTATGTATACATCACCCACCACCACCCAAAAACAACCAATTGTCATTTGATACATAAATATCTTGTATTTGACATTTACTAACTTCACACTCTCTTTTCTTTTTATTTGCCGCTTTTTAGTTATTCCCCTTTGTTCGTCTTATTCATACGTAAAATTTCGTTGATTCCATTAAATTGTTAAAAATTGTTATTAAAAAGTGTTTAAATATTAATAAATTTATGAAAAATATGAAATTTAATTAATTGTGAATAAAAAGTGTTTGTTTAATTAAAGAAAAATATGAATTTTTGCAAGATTTCCAACAATTAAAAAATTTGCCAAAAATTGCTAAGCCACCTGTTGGCAGCGGAGCCCTAGCGCTCCACAGAAAATGCAATTTTTTTTCGTGTCGGTCGTGTAAATTTATACATGTGTGATTGATTGTGTGTATTTGCATTTCGGGTTTGTCGCGACAAGTGTTCTTTGTTAAGAAAGAAACGAAGAAGGGTATGTTAATAATGTTGTTGTTGCTGTTGTTTGTAATATTCTATTTTGTATTGTATGTTTGATGGATGCTGTTGTTGTTTTTTAATCTGTATAGCGAGGCTAGTGGGAATAATGTGTGTTGTTTTTGTTTCTTTGCTTTGGCTGTTGTTATTGTTGCATTTAGTGTTGGTCTGTTTGTTTTGTTTGCTAATTTTAATGGTTTTAAGAGTGGTTTAGGACTTTTTCGTTTCGTACATAATATAACCATCGTACTTTTTAACACTTGTGTCCGCACTTGACTGTTATACATAATGTATCTATAGTTTTTTACTGCATGTTGTAACTGCTAAACCTAAATCTTCAATATTTCTATCAAAAATGCTTTCAGGAAATTTTTTATTTAAAATCAGCAAAATATAAATATAATAACGGAGATATGAAAGAAATTCTAAAAATAAAGAGTAAAATATTAAGTTTTTTCATTCTTGATTAGTTGTTATTGAAACTACTGTAACAGCTATTTAAATAATATTGTTAAATATGATTAGAATTGGTTTAAAATTTCACATACATAATTCCCATAATACGAATCAATATAAATCATATTACTATCTAAAACCTGAACCGGTTCATATTTGACTATTGTGGAGTTAATGATGATTATGAAAATTATTAGTCTATTCAATAACAAAATATTGTATTGAAAGCACAGAAA